AATGAAATAGGGAAAACTGAAGGAGTCTTGTGTGATTATCACACAGATTCTATTTGGAGCAGTCAGCACAATTTGAGATTCTTCATCAATCTAACCCCCAAATTTTTAATAATAAAATTATCTGCCGCTCACAAATGCCTCATGCGTTAACAAAACACCCTCGTCTGCAAGCAAAGCTGGAGCATTGCCTCTCTTTTAGTGAGAATATAGTTCCGCTTATGGTTCTACTTTTCATTTTATCTCTCTCTCTCTATTTGCGTCTGTCGTGAGTACCTAAAACGCTTTCCGAAGTCTTCAATAGTACTTACCGCACTGTACATCTTTTCTTGTTTTTCCGTGGTGATTGGGTACACTTCCGGTTTCACTTCTGGCACCGCTTCATAGTAGGCCTATAGAGAAATTATCTGTTGTGAAAATCATAGCATGCACAATTTTCATTTAAAAGTTTTGTACAAAATCAAGACTCTGCCCATATCTGCACCATAAGAGAGCATTTGGTCTTTCTAGTGAGAGTAGATTTATAACGGAAATGCCTTGCGATTGCTAAGATATAAGCACTCCTAGAATACTCTGTACTACGTTGAAAGAGTTATTCACAATATTCTTGGATTGGATTTGTTGGACCTAATTTGAAATGATAAATTCTAATTTTGCTAACGAAAAATCAGGAACAAAGAGCCTTAGGTAACACTAGAACTTATGAAAACACCGATAAATTAACAAAGTGCAACAAGCACGAGCTCTTCCACATTTGTGAGATTTGTTTTCATTGAAAATGTGATATCAATGGGTTATACTCACCCCAGCATGAAAGGCTTCCGTTGTGACTTGAGTAGTGGTAGTAGTCTCAACTTTGGGTTGAACTTCATGAATTTGCTGAAAATAGACAAAATTAATGCGCCTTGACCGTCCAGATTTACGGATTGATACGATGAGGAGAATAGAGACAGAGTGAGCAAAAGTAGCTCCACCACATTAACCTTCTTCTCAGGTCTGACAAACTTATGGAATTTATGAGCACTATATCGGTTGAATTAACAGTATGTTATTCTTACCCCGGCGTGATATGTTTCAGCCACTTGGGTGGTGGTACTCGTTTGAACTTCTGGTTGTGGAGCAACATCGATTTTCTGCAAGAAAAACCCATTAATTGTGTTTCTGCCAGGAAATGAGTTCAAATAGGAACAAAGATGAAAAGATTTCAAAGAATGTCCAGTACATTTACCATACAAAACTAAATCGAACGAAATTTTTGTAAGTGAAAGGGTACTTTGGACTCATGTGGGATAATTCGAGAGTGTAACATTATTGATCGAATTCAAAAACTCTGTTTTTTGTGTAAGAGTGAAAATCGTTTTCAGGTTATATGATGTATTTTCTTTACTTTGCCACGTTCGATGAGGTGACTCTTTCAAAAAAAAAATTTTCTACAGATTTGCTGCTCTATCTTTAGAATCTCACTGTGTAACTTTTTGTCAGGCTAGAATATCCAAGCACTCGGT